GTCCGGGCGCGCGAGGGGAGGCGGCCGCCTGTCGGCGCTGCCCTGGGACCCTCTCCGGTGCCGAGCGCTCCGCCGTCGCCCGTGGGGGGATGGACCCGGGTTTGGGCGAGAGAGAGGAGGCCCGGGGCGCGGAGGTTTCGCCGCAGTTACGGGTAACCGGGGCGAAGGGTCCGAAGGCTGAGGTTTACCTTTGATCGTGCCCCGTGGGAGTCTGGTCCCCGCTTCCAGCCAGTGGCCCCTCGGGCCCAACGACAAGGTCTCAGACTTCTTCCATGCGGCCCGTGTGCACGCTGCTGGGCACCCGAGGGCGCCCTCAGTGTGGAGCTGCAGCCTGTGCCAGGCTCTGTGTTCAGGACAAAATGGCCGCCTGCCCTCCCCTGTGGGCTCCTTTCTGGGGCGTCTGGCTGCAGCCTCCGGCCCCGGCCGTCTTCGCCCCTCACCGCCACCCGCCCGTGGGGAGATGCCAGGTATTCACGAGGAGGCGCCTAAACCCCAGAAGACAGCAGTGTTGTTTAAAATCGGGCTTAAAAGCTGCCTGAGTGGATTGATTCTGTTACCCATAGTATTGCGTAAAAATAAAAAAATAAAAATTCTTTGTGATACATATTCTCGCTTCCAGATTGTGTTTTATTCTGATATTAAGATGCATTCCATCCCCTCTGCATGTCCTTACTGATGACTGGGAATCGGAGAGGAGGCCCTTACATGGCGGGGGAAGCGGGGAGAGTCGGCCGTGGTTGAAAACCAAGCGACACATCCTCGTGTGCATTGGCCCAACGCGAAGTACATGCCAGTCTGCACTATTTCCAGAGGCTCTGCATATCTTCCTACCTACCATGGGACAAAAGACGTCATTGTCGTGGGCCCTGCTTAACCAGATCAAAGGCATGCGAGTGTGTAGGGCCCGCGCCCGGCATCGTCCGGTCAGGCTGGCAGCAGAGTGCCCAGTCCAAGGCGAGATCTCGCCATCGCCCGGTCAGGCTGGCAGCAGAGTGCCCAGCCCAAGGCGAGATCTCCTCGCCATCCCCGGTCAGGCTGGCAGCAGAGTGCCCAGTCCAAGGCGAGATCTCCTCGCCATCCCCGGTCAGGCTGGCAGCAGAGTGCCCAGTCCAAGGCGAGATCTCCTCGCCATCCCCGGTCAGGCTGGCAGCAGAGTGCCCAGTCCAAGGCGAGATCTCCTCGCCATCCCCGGTCAGGCTGGCAGCAGAGTGCCCAGTCCAAGGCGAGATCTCCTCGCCATCCCCGGTCAGGCTGGCAGCAGAGTGCCCAGTCCAAGGCGAGATCTCCTCGCCATCCCCGGTCAGGCTGGCAGCAGAGTGCCCAGTCCAAGGCGAGATCTCCTCGCCATCCCCGGTCAGGCTGGCAGCAGAGTGCCCAGTCCAAGGCGAGATCTCGCCATCGCCCGGTCAGGCTGGCAGCAGAGTGCCCAGTCCAAGGCGAGATCTCGCCATCGCCCGGTCAGGCTGGCAGCAGAGTGCCCAGTCCAAAGCGAGATCTCCGTGGGCACTTGTGAGGCCTAGACGTGGGAAACCCACTGCCTTCCCCGTGTGTCCGTGCTGTGCCTCAATTTTATGGGTAGGTTTCTAACGCTGAGCCTCTCTGAAAAGAAAACGCTTCGGTTTCCTACCTTCAAGGTCATTATTTTCCACGAAGACAGTAGGGAAAACAAATATTGACCTCTGGATGAAATAGCAAGTTGCATGAGTCTAGAAAAGTAAATATGACCTAGGTTGTCACCAAATCATTAACCAGGGAGATAACCTGAAACTTGCCATCACCTAGTTGACACGTGTGACTTAAGCAGGCTCAGCCTATTAGCCCGAGGAGAAGGCTTATATGTGCCCCTTTCATTTTCTTGGCCTTGCCTGTTGTGCAAAATTCATTTTTCAGGAGAGTAAAAACATCATTATTTAAATTAGGGGTTAATGCAGTCTGCATTTCTAAAGCCATTGATGATGGTATCAATTAGTTTCTTATAATCCTACACCAGCATCAAAAAGCATGGGGTGTGTGTGCGTATTGTCTGCTAGAGACTAGGTCTGTCTGTCTCAAAGGCGTTTTTAAGGAATCAGTACTGTTTTTGTTTTGTTTTTTTAAAAAGTTGCAAATTCATAAATTATGATTTATGAGTATATAAAAATATGCATATAAAAAGATCAAAAGGGAATATTTGAAAAATAGTATAGCAGTTGTGTTAAGATGTTGGTATTACCTATGATTTTTTTTCCCTGCATGGGTGCTGTTTGTGTTATTTTTATAACTAAATAAATAATTTTAAAGAAACCTTGAGAACATTAAGGTCAGATTTCAAATAGGTGGACTCAACTTTATCAAGGTGAACACATGAAGGAGTCCATCTGAGGGTACATGAAATAAATCAGTAAATATATAAGCAACAGGGAAAGACCTTATTCTAGAAGGTCTGAAGTCAATATATCATCTTCCAAGAGTGGTTATGCTTTGATCAAAGGTATAAACAACATCCCAAAGTGGCCACAAGTGGTGATTTCCCTTTTACAAATCTATATAAATTAAATAGTATTTTAGGAAATTAAAATTACTAAATTCCTAACCAAGTAACATTTACCCCTACATATTTCAGATTTATAGGACCCTTCCTGAGATCCACTTATGTATTGCAATATTAAAATTACTTGTATTTGTTCAATCATCTTTACTTTTCCATTATTGAAACAATTTCAATACCCATTACACACACACATTCCTTCTAGCTCTGTGTTAATGAAACTTGAGTCATAGGCTAGAGGGGGGAAAATACAGTTGGTATGCAAAAATAGGCTTTTGATTTACTTATATAACCTGTTCCTTCTTACTTTCAACTAGTTCTCAAAGTATCCAAGGAAGATATTAGAGAAAAAATTACCAGACATGACCAGGTGTAGAGAAATGTAGGAAATGTAAAAAATATATAGGGGAAAAAATGACCAGGCTTTAGCCTTGCTCTTTCCACTCTTGCATTCTTCTACACAGTGATTTTCAACCGGTGTGTCGCAAGAATGTTTAAAACATGCAATACCTGACTATTTAGTCGGGGGCAATGACCTCTTTTCCCTTAGATTTTCAAATAAAAAAAGGACAACAGCCTTGACCGGTGTGGCTCAGTGGGTTGAGTGTCATCCCATGCACAGAGGGGTTACTGGTGCGATCCAGTCAGGGCACATGCCCGGCTTGCAGTGCAAGGAGTCTTGGCTAATATATAGCATGTCTTTGCATACAGGTGCTGTAGCTGCCAGTA